CCCTGAAAATAAGACCTCCCTGAATAATAAACTCAATATGGCTTTTTGAGCGCATGTGCCAAAATAAGCCCTCCCCAAAAAATAAGCCCTCCATAAAAATATTGTAACACAGCAGCAGCCATGAGGTGACCATGCTCGCCATCTCCTGCACCTCAAAAATAATAAGACCTCCCCGAAAATAAGGCCAAGTGCTTATTTCAGAAGTCAAAAGAAAATAAGATCCATGCAGATGACAATCTGTTTTATTGGAAACCTGTGAGAAGCCAAATACTTGGGGTAGAAATATAAATAAGATAAGATGTAGGATAAGACAACCTTTATTGAATTAAATAAAATAGAAACATATTTAAATAGGGGAGCTATCTTGGTATAGTGATTAAGGCACCAGGATAAAAACTGGCAGACTGTAAGATCTACTCCCCACCTCGGGCACAAAGCCAACTGGGTGACCTTGACACACACACACTCAGCACCAGGAAGGAGGCAACAGCTAACCACTTCTGAAATCTTGCCAAGAAAACTGCAGGGATTATTCCAGGCAATTGCCAGGAATCAGCAATAACTTGAAGAAATTAATAAATAAAGAAAACATAATTTAAATAGATTTTCATCTCTATATACAGAAGGCATCAATTCTAATCTCAACAAACTCAGATTTCAATCACTAACAAAATATTTAAATTACCAAATATTTCTAAAGTGCTTCCTGGATTTAAAAGGAAAACCATAATATTCTTTTGGGGATACTTTTTTTTCTGAGTATCTTTTCTCAGTGTTTTATCCTTGGCTTACAGCAGTTCATTTAGTGACCATTCAAAGTTACAATGGCACTGAAAAAGTGACTTATGACCATTTTTCACAGTTACGACCTTTGCAGCCTCTCCATGATCATGTGATCAAAAGTCAGATGCTTGGCAGCTGGTTGATATTTATGACCATTGCTATGTCACAGGATCATGTAATCCCCATTTGTGACCTTCTGACAAGCAGAGTCAATGGAGAAGCCAGATTCACTTAACAACCGGGTTACTAACTTATCAATTGCAGTGATTCACTTAACAACTGAGGCAAGAAAGGTCATAAAATGGGGTAAAACTCACTTAACAAATATCTGACTTAAAAGAAATTTTGGGCTGAATTGTGGTTGTAAGTCAATGACTACAAAGGTGGGTTGCGTCCGGTTTGGCCGAACCAGTAGTGGCAGTAGCGGAAAGCTCCGCCCACCGGTCCAGACACTTCTGAGCATGTGCAGAAGTGTTGCGAGCACAAATGAACCAGTAGTAAATCTCGGCACTTCCCATTGCTTCCTGCAAGATCACTGATTGTGAAGTTATTCCAGGTCGCTCACAAGAAGGTGTAATTGCAGAGCAACTTGCAACTTTCCCTGCTGACTTCCCTATTGACTTTGCTTATGAGAAGGGTAGGAAAGGTTGCAAATGGTGCCCATGTGATCATTATAAGTGGAAGCTAAGCGTCCAGATTGTGATCACATAACCACAAAGGTGTTGGGATGGCTGGAACTTTGAGGACCAGTCACAAATACCATTTATTCAGCAGTGTCATAACATCAAAAAGTCATGAAGGAATGGTCATTATACAAGAGCTATCTGTAAGATCCAGCAGTTGCTCAAATCAGTATTATCTAAAGTCAAGTTAGCATCCTTGGAGATGAGCTATTCCACCATGGGCAAATTCCATCAAGTAATTCCTCTGTCAAATCATAGGACATATTCTACCAAATTTTGAATTAGTCAGATGCCACGTTAACTACTGGGGTTGATTCCACATTTTGAGAGAGAGGTTACAGAAATTGGAACTGGAAGGGCAATAAAGTAAGTCTTACGAGACAACTGGGTGTGGCCCCTTTTGTGAAGAGATGCCTGAGAGAAGTGTGATAGCCTTTCTCAAGTACATGAATGGATGCTGCAGAGGAGTTCAAGGCCTATTGTTTATCACTCTAGAATGTGAGACATGGAACAACGTTCCTAAGTTCCTGTTCCTAAGTTCCTGCTCCTAAGTACAGTTTCTGTCAGGACCTCTCCATTAAATAATCAGGAAAGAAAACCACGAGATTCCATGTGTAGAGAACAAGTGTACTTTTACTAATTATAAATGATTAAAGGCATAGCGNTGCTATTGTATCTTCTTTTAAATAGCAGAGAATAATGTATACTTCCAGAAAGCCACATCAATTTTAACAGTATCTGTACAAGTATTGTCTGAAATGTAACACTACAAACAGTGTATATTATCTGTACTATTTGCTGTTAGTTGCAAGGAAGGAAATTGCTGAGCGGCAGAGGCAGATATTTTTCCTTTGTTTTCCTCCCCAAAAGCTAGGTGCATCTTATACTCAGAATATACGGTAATTACAGTGTACTGTGAACTGTATTACGGTCACCCCATATTGATCTCAAATTTGGCTACTGCTATCACTGTGGAATGGATTTCTGTAATGGACATTATAGCAACCACTGGAAAATCTATAGCAATGGATTTTGCAGATGCTAAATTTCCCGAGGAGCCCATTGTGTAGAGACTTGTTAAAGCTGATCAAATTTGGGAAACCGTTTGAAAATCCTTATGATGCTTAAAAAAATGGTTTTGTTTTACAATGAAAAATGACGGAGTATCAGAGTACTAAATACATTTTGCAATGTAATAGTTCTTATTTAAACAACATATATAGAAGGAAAGAGAGTTTACATTAGCAAACAGTGTACCTGCCTGCATGCTTCCTTATGTTAATCTCTCCACCTATTTTTATAAAATGTTGTAGGTTTCCTCAAATCTGCTTTCTGGAGTTCATGAGTACCAAATGTAAGATGGGCCTAAAAGCATTGGAGATCTCTTCTCGTATTTAGAACTAATAATAGAATTTGGAGGCAATTTATGCCACAAATGTTTTAAGAAAGAAATCAATGCAATCACAATTAGTTACTGCATACCTAAGGATCTCTTGTATGATATTATCTATTCCCCATCCTGCATCCTTCTACCTGACTCTGAAATTAATTCAGTGTTGACTGGGGCAGAAGTAAATTTGATTTTCGAATGAATTTGATATATGCCATAAAACTGCCATGTTTATTTTTTTATTCATGATGCTAATTTTTATAGCTTGAAAGAGTTTGCCAGACTGAAACAGTACCCTTTCTGTGTGATTTACAGAAAATCGTAGAAAGCCCATGCATCGAAGGCCTTCTTCAGGCTCTCCACAGTGCCCACTTACTAGAAGATTCCCTTTTCTACGTGATATCTTGTCTTGCTGAATTGGTGAAGCATGGTAAGGGGGGCTTTAATTCTGCTGCATAGATGTGTAAGCCTTTTTTTCTGGCATTGAACATTGATATTGATGTAAGTTTTGATCTCCTGTATATATCCTGTTTCCCTGAAAATAAGACCTCCCTGAATAATAAACTCAATATGGCTTTTTGAGCGCATGTGCCAAAATAAGCCCTCCCCAAAAAATAAGCCCTCCATAAAAATATTGTAACACAGCAGCAGCCATGAGGTGACCATGCTCGCCNGGATACTGCAAAATCCCCATTCCCTCCTGAACAGCTGTGATTTGGGAGGCAAAGAATAGATGGGGCGCGGCCAATCAGAGGTGGTATTTACCGGTTCTCCGAACTACTCAAAATTTCCGCTCAGGTCAGAACTACTCAAAATTTCCGCTCAGGTCAGAACCTGCTGAATACCACCTCTGATACAAATGCTAGCAGTAACTTTTTTGGTCTGGGGATTATACTTTGTCTTTGCAGCCTTCCTGGGAGGCCATAAGACATGGACAGTGATTTTATGACTGACATTGGTAAAACAAATGATTTGGTATTTTGGGAAGTGTTGGGAAGATTTGTGGGGGAGATTTCAGAATTTTTAAGGACTGCAATGAGCTACAGTATTAATTTAATCAATCCACAAAAGCTACTCTCACACACATGTAAAACACTGATGGTATAGTTTTAAAGTATCAAAGCTGGGTTATGTTGCTACAGAGAATCTTTTTACTCTCACATTTCTCATATTTGAAGCATATTCCATCCAAATATCCTGGTGATAAAGAAAGTGTTTAAATAAAACTAACATGAACCTGTCAGTCATTTAGATTGTTTTTGCAGGCAAGAGTGCTTTTTCTCACCTCCTGATTTGCTTGTGTCTTTCAACTAGATTTCAAACCAGGCTTGTTTTTGTCTCAGGAATTTAGCCACAAATGGTAAGTAGAGACCTAATATGGGAGTAAAAGAAAAATTGCCAGCAGGCAACCAACCTCAGTCTTACAGAACAAAAAATGTCACACACACCCCATGTTATTTTGTACTGTGCCTAGCCTTTGGAAAGAATGTCCTCAGCTTGTTCTTTACTCTGTGAAGTAGGAAGAATGTTATATTTTGGTTTCAGGCACACCTATTGTGTTGAAGCTTTTTCTGGTTTAATAAAACTTGCAGTAATGAAGTCCCAGACCAGTCAGGCAGGTTTAGAGAAGAGCAGTCCCCTTATTCTAAGTCCAGCTATAAGGATGTCTACATGATCTAGGGTGATTTTTCTTGGAAGTCCTCTATTCGTTAAAAAAATATCAACCCAGTATTATACTATTTAATATTAAATGTATAATATAATGTTATAATAACAAAATTGTAAGATTGGCTTGGTACATGACATTCATTTCTAGCACTGATGAATTGGAAAAATGCTTTATCAGACTAGAGTTTCATACTAATAATTAGAAGAAGCTGACAAGAAATGTTTGGTGATAAACTGTCCCTGACCTTGCAACTAGTCTATGTTATTATGTTCTTATAATGTAATTATTCCTCTGTGTGTGTTTAAATCCAAATTGTTCTAGCTAGAGTATTCAAGGTCATTAATACAGATTACAGCTGCCAAGTCACACTCTTTTATCATCCTAAACTCCCCCAATTATATGCATCTAAACTAAACAAAAATTAGTTTCAATGCTACTTTTTCTAACAAGCAGTTAGCCACGTGCACTATTAGATAATTCTTGAGCCAAAAAAAAATAAGAGTCGGCCTGTCTGCTCCTGTGGTGAAGAAAAAAGCAGCGGCCCCATCAAAAATATATAACATTGACAGAAATTTGAGAAAAAAATGATTTTTTTCTGTAATCACAGCTCTCTAAATCTTTTAGAAGAGATGTCTTGTAACGAATGGAAATGTGAACAAAGCATCTCTTCTCTGAGCATACACATGGGAAAAAGCAGAATAGGTTTCTTTGTTTGGTGCCTTCAAGTCGGTCTTGACTCCTGGCAACCGTCTGGACAAATCCCTGCAGTTTTTCTTGGCAAGATTTCAGAAGTAGTTTGCCACTGTCATCTTCCTGGAACTGAGAGAAAGGAACTGGCCCAAGGTCACACAGCTGACTTTGTGCCTCACGTGGAACTAGAAGTCGTGGTCTCCTGGTTCATAAGCTGGTGTCTTAACCCCCAGCACAGAACTGCCTCTGTTTAGTATGTTTATCTGATGATAACACCACCATCTCCTCTGATTCAGTGGAGCTTGCATTTGATTTCTGGTGGATGAAATATTTAAGAAAGGCCCTTGTCTTTATTTACTTTGGTCCTAGTAAAGAAGCACTACTGTTAGATTTCTCTTAGCTTTTCTTGGATTCTTGTCACCTGGCTAGCAATGTCCTTTATAAATCTTTGCTTCAACTTTCTATTAATCTTTCTAATTTTCAGAGGTTTTTTTTTTTTTACTTTCTACATTGGATAGCGTAATGGATTTACAGGGTACTTAATTATAAAATTTAAGAATAAATGGCTTTATATTGCAAACAAGGGGCAGCATTACTCTTTCACAAAGATTTTAATTTGTGGGAGAAATGCACACAAACACACAGATAAGTTTTGCAGGAGAATTGAGCTGTTCGTTTCATCGATGAAGCAGTGATCTCTAAGTGGATTCTATAATTGACACGTTTATTAGTATAATTCACTCTGTTAAAGTCTGTACATAAAATCAAGTCCAAATTCCCATCTTGGTAAAAATTCAGGTAACCACCAGTCCAATTTAAGACCTAAAGTGTTACTTTTGTGCTTGTACCGCAAATAATTTTCTGCAAAACTTCACTCCCCAGGTTCTTATTTAGATTTGACATACATAGTGAACTTAGCACAGAGGTGGAGAACCTATTTCAGTGCTGGATTGAATTGGTGGTTAGCAAACACATGAGGTAGAGGGCAGGGGTAGGTTCCGGCAGGCACTACTGCTGGTTCACTCGTGGGTACTGTGCATGCTCAGTACAATAAAATTTGTTCTGCGCATGCGGAGAAACGAAAAACAAGATAGCACCGCCCGGAGAAGCAGTTTGGGGGAGGCGTAGCAGGCCTGGATCGCTGCCGGATCCAGTAACCCAGGCCACCAAACCACTACTGGTTCAGCCGAATCGGTCCAAACCATTAGGAACCCACCACTGGTAGGAGGGTCACATATGCCAGTATAATTGGGGCCACACTACTGAAAGCACTGAGCCCCCATCATACCTCCTCTTTCCCACTCCCATACACCTTTGATGCATGCTAATATTTTTCCTCAACATTATTAACCAGATCCAGATATTGCCTTTCTAATTACTGTAGCTGAAAGAAGAATATAGTCCTTTACGGCAGTTTGTTTAGTGACCTTTCTGAGATATGGCAGCGCTGATAAAAGTGATTTATGACAGTTTTTCACACTTACAACCCTTGCAGCAACCTCATGGTCACATGATCATAATTCAGATGCTTGGCAACTGACTCATATTTATGACGCTTGCAGTGTCCTGGGGTCATGTAATCCCCTCTTGTGGCTTCCTGACCAACAAAGTCAAGGGGGAAGCCAGATTCACTTAACAACTGTGTTACTAACTTAATGACTGCAGTGATTTGCTTAGCAACTGTGGCAAGGTAGGTCATAAAATGGGCAAAACTCACTTAACAACTGCTTCATTTAGCAAGAGAAATTTGGGGCTCAATTATATTCATAAGTCAAGGACTACCTGTTTGCAAGCATATACATTAAACATTTTACAGTAAATGCACATTTTAAGCTTTCATTATTTATGGAATGGACTTTAATTTACAAAAGTCATATGCCTACAGTATTTGGTTGTAAATGTGGTTATTCTGACTATTATACCCTCGAAGATGTTACTCAGTCTGGATAATAATTTGTCACGTGTCTCCTTGGCTTTGAATGAGCTTTCTATCTGTGGGCATGACTGCTTTAAGCTTTCTTCTGATGCTAACATTAATACTACCTGAACTTTTAGTGAGATCAGGGCCAACATGGTTTAATTATTTTGATCAGAAGCTAGCTTTTTTATATCAAATTTGGTTTGTCTTTCTGTTGATTTTTCATGAAACAGAGCTCAGGATCTAACCAGTGTACTGATGTTACATGGAATTCTCTGTTTCTAGGAGACAGATGAACTAATTTGACTCTTTTAAACTTGATGATGTGCTTTATCTTCAAATTCCTTTTTGCAGAACAATTTTTGTTGATTGACAGACAGCCTTAAATAGTGTTCTTCTGTTGCAGAGTTTGTTCTGACCAGTCTTGTTGCTATGCATATCCAGTACCGTCTTCTTCCTCTCTTGACATTTAGCAATAAAGAGACTCAGCAGAATTCAGTCATTCTCCTCCAGATATTATCCCAACACTCAGGCAACCAGGTACATATTTTCTTAATACCATTGGCCTTTGGATCGCTTATGAGATGAAAAGCATTTTGTGATAGGACAAATATTCCAACAGGCATGCTTCCTATAGCTATATGGCAGGAAGTGTTCACAATTTATGTTATTCAGATATATATTAGTCCTTTTGATATTGTAATTCATAGAATTTTATTGGGGAGATGGGAGAGTGTCCAGTTAAATGGGTTTTTATTCATAACCTTTCTGTATTTTTCTACTATAATTCAGTCTCCCTAACTGAGATGGAACCTTTTTCTTCTATTTTCCTTATTACTCAGATATTCAGCATGGTTTACCATATTTTCGGAGTATAAGATGCACCTTTTTACCTCAAAAAAGAGGCTGAAAATCTGGGTGCATCTTATACACTGAATGCAGCATTTTTTGCCTCCCGAAACCCCGCCCCCTTAACCAAAATGGCCGTGCATAGCCTTTAGGAGGCTTTCAGAGTGGTCCTGGGTGGGCAGAAATGAGTGAAAAACAGGCCATTTTTTGCTCAATTTTGTCTCCAGCCCCCAGGAGTATAAGCCTCCTAAGGACTATGGATGCCCCTTTTTTGACAAAAAATGGGCCTATTTTTGCAAAAAACGGACCATTTTGGGGAGGTCTGCAGAGTGCAAAACTTTTTTTTAAAATTTGCCTCTTCAAAATCTTGGTGTGACTTATACTCTGAAAAATATGATACTTGGTTCCGCACTATATTTTATCTTTAGATTGGTAGGGTACCTTCTTTAACTTTACTTGCCTATCAGTTTCCTTGCAAATAAAGAATATTTCTTATTAAAAATGTACCTATGTTTGTAGGTTAATAGCTCTATCCTTCCTGCTGCTTATTTAGATCCTTTATGTCTCCCAGTNCTCCCCGTTTCATGGCAGCCGAAGCAACAGCAAAGCAGAGACTGACTGGAAACCATTTAAATGTTAGGAAAAGCTTATTCTTGATAAGTCCAATTGAACAATGATACCAGTTATTGAGGGAGATGGTGAGCACCCTTTGCTGAATGTGTATAAGAAAAGGCTATGCTTCCTTCTGTTCGGGTTGTTTTAATTTCTCCACTGATTGTGATTTGGGAGGCCTAACAAGTATTTGACTCTGTGGTTCAATATATTTATTTCAAATGTTCTACAGTCTTTTCTCTGTTCTGTTGGGGTCTGTTTATTTGTCTCTTAATTTCTAATTAAATCTTTCTTTCTACTATTAGAAGGAGCCACAGCGCATATTGTAGCATTGATGGATGAACCATTGATAAATCATTTGGTGAAATTAGCTAATCAGGTGGAACAAACTGAGCTTTCATTCCAAGCTGCCTTTATGATCAAACACTTCATAAGACATGGTATGTATCAATAGGGAGTCTGATATTTATATTTTCAGCCTAATGAAAATATAAATTCAAATTCAAGTGATGAAAGGTGTAGGGTTAAAAAAAAGCCGCCCTGAGTCTCTCGGGAATAGGGCGGCATACAAATTGAATAAATCCAATCTAAATCCAAAAGAGGACAACAGCTTGAACCTTGAGGTTCAAAAATCCTTTTATTGATATCATTCTCAGACCATAATGATTCTTAAAGCCTTATTAAATGAATGAATTACAGGTAGATGATCATCTATTTTCCTATGATATACTAATAATGTAAATCTAATTGACATCAGGCAGGTATTTTGCACCTGACCACACTTGGCATCCTTGCCTGGAGCCCTTATTCTTCTAATGTAAACATGAAAATTTGTTTTGAGACAGTGAAGCAAATGGTTCTAACACAGCAATTAAACATTTTGCGCCATCATAATAGAATCTTCCATAAGGAAACAAATCCTATTAAATATGCTATCACTGCTCAAATATTATTAGATTTACTGCTGCAAACTGAAGTGATACTTAATTTGAAAAATATTTGCGGCATGAAGCTTCTTTAAACTCCCTCTCCTAAAATAATGCATTTATTATTACACATACACAACAGTAATTGTGTCTAGAAGACAATTACTACACAATTATGCAGTATTATTATCGCTGTGCTTTAATTTCAAAGTAGATGACGCTCTTTAGGAGATTTAGCACTTGTATTTTTATTTCACAAAATAAAACTTAAAATGAATTAGGGCTGAAGCTCGGAGCTCTGCTTGCTGTAATGCATGGCTTTATAGTAAACTACATTCATAAATTTGCAATATTAAAATATGCTTAGCTTAACAAATTAGTAACTGGAAAAGCAAGCAGGAGCAGCCATCACAGAAGGACATTGTTGTTTTGATTTAATAGCGCAGTGTAACTAATGGATTCTGTTCTGTATTTTTTTTCTGTTCTCCATATCCATTGCATAGAGGAGATAGTCTCTCTATTAAAAACTCACCTGAACCAGGTTCAGCAATATCTGATGAAGTATCTTCTTCACCGGGAGAGTCGTTTTCAGCATTTGGGCATAACCACTCTCTGTGCATTACAGAAAGGTATGGACTGCTATGATTTAAAAAATCCCAATAAGTCTTTCAAATTAAATAAATAAATAAAATAATGGTCCAAATTCCCGTATTTTTCAGAGTATAAGACACACCTTTTTTCCTCAAAAAAGAGGCTGAAAATCTGGGTGCGTCTTATACATCGAATACAGCATTTTTTGCCTCCGGAAGCCTCGCCCCCTTCACCAAAATGGCTGTGCATACTCTCATGGAAGCTTTCAGAAATCTCCTGGGGGCTGGGGAGGGCATAAATGAGCAAATAAATGGGCCGTTTTTTGCCCCCCCCCAGCCCCTAGCAGCACTCTATAAGCCTCCATAAAGCTATGCATGCAATTTTTTTGACCAAAAAATGGGCCGTTTTTTGCTCCTTTTTGCCCCCCCCCAGCCCCTAGCAGCACTCTATAAGCCTCCATAAAGCTATGCATGCAATTTTTTTGACCAAAAAATGGGCCGTTTTTTGCTCCTTCCCAGCCCCTAGCAGCACTCTATAAGCCTCCATAAAGCTATG